CTTTTTCTTGTGGCAGATGACGCATGCTTTCACAGTGCGGCGCGTGCGCTCTCCTTTTTCATTTGACGTCATCTTCCTGGTGAAGACGCAGTCTCAACTCCAGAAGCGGTGATTTGATATTAATTGAGTAGCTTCACACATTGTTGAAGATTTTCCATAGCCAACGGACGAATATGCGGAAGAGTCAATCTGGATAAAGGTGATGCAGGTGAGGCGAGGTGGGTCCGTGCCGCGGGAGCGGGGATCTGCATGTGCCTCAGCTCTCCAAACACCACATACTTATTGTTTAACTCCTCATTTCTATCACTGTGGCCAAGTCTTGGACAGTAACTGATATTGCCTGTCAAGAAGTTTCAATGCTACGGTTTCTGCTAGTGATCGCTGGGTCCTGACTTTCGGCATCAATAGTACTGTCCAATCACGCCCTGAAGAAGTCTCAAGGAGCGACAAACTGTACGTTAAACATGATTATAGTAACCATTCCAGGTATATATCAAGAGACGACATCCAGGGTATAGACATGCCGACAAGGTATACAGTGCACCGCCAGAGTACGAATATTGCTCTGCCCCTGAGCTTATATAACAAAACCGATACCGCATAGTAACCTTGATCCTACACTCACATACCACTGCACGGCCATTGGAAACCCATTTACTCTTTTCTGCCAGATCATCGCAGCCATCAACCTCGTCCGCAACAACCCAGAAACAGAAGCAGCAAACTTCGCGAACGCTAGAATGGAAGATACACCAATAAACGCCACAACCCAGACAGCCAGTACCAAAGATAGTGAGATTCATGCGGAGAATGGGTCGTTAATAGTGGGATCAGTGGAGAAGCCGGAGGCGGGTGGTGAGCAGAAGGACGGGGCAAAGGGGGATGGGTGGACAGAGGAGTAGTTGATGCTGAGAAATATGAGACCGCACAAATTTACAGTGACCTGACATCACTGCACGTTCTCTACATTACCATAAAACGAAACATCACTAGGAGTAAATTTCCCCGTAGTTAGCATGTTACTCGTATGATAACAATTCTTAGTGATGATGGTATCGACTATTGGATTATACATTTTGATGGAAAGTAATTTTACATATCACATGTCCGAAGCGGCAAGCCACAAGACCGGCATTCATGACTCATTATCCCGCTCATCCTATTCTGGAATGAGCAACTCAATCTATACCACCAATCGGAAACTCTGTAACTCCTCGCCTGTTACGTGGGACTTATGACACGCTTAGTCGAAGGGGTTGGTGCGGGTTCCCCAGTAGGTGAGGAACAGAGACAGACCAACCGTCTCGAAGACGCGGGCGGTGGCTCCAATGGCGATTGTCTCAAGCGGACGCTTCTCAGTGAGGACCTGGGAGATGATCTACGTTTGTTAGCAATTGAACTTCCTTTTGGAAAAGAAGCAATGACGTACAGAAGGAGCAGATGAGGCGAAGAAGATCAAGGCGCCGAGGTACGAAGCACCCTTGTAGGTCAGAGTACCAGTAGCGTTGATCAAAGCACCGACACCGTAGGCCTGAATGGCCGAACCGACGAGTGAGCTTCCCCACGAAGTGACGGCGGTGGCGGCCTCTTTTGAGTTAAAGTACTCCTCCTTGGAGTTTGCAGCCTCGGCACGACGGTAGGCATCACCAAAGACGGGGCCGAGAACGGCAAGAGAGACAGCGTGGTTGAAGGCGGTGCCGAGGGCGATGGCCGACGGCTTGACCGGAGGGAGGTCTGAGTTGGAAGTCAGCTTTGAATGGTAAGAAATGGTCTGGTCGATGGAACTGCGTGCACGAAGCAACCCAGTGGTCTGGTGTTGACGTGGAGTTCATTGTTTGCGACGGAGAGGGTACATACAGTGGAGAGTGGCCATTGTGGTGGGTTGGGTGGTTATTGGAGGCGATGGAACTGGTACTGGAATTGATGAAGTTGATGCTGATGAGATCTTTCGGCTTGTGTGAGTAAGTAGAAAGGTGGCAGAAACAAAGCTTTTGTAGCACGAAGTAGGACGGAGCGATGATGGCTTTCGCGTGACCTCCACATTACGTCACAGTTATGGCGTTTGCCAAGCCAACTCCAATCCTGCAAGTCTTGCGCCAGCTCTGGACCGCTGCTCTGTGCGTAGTTTGCGCCTGCTTGCCACAGATGTTTGCCATCATTGAATTGGCTTCATTTCTCAGACGATTTCGTAATGTGATTGCGTCATTGTTCAGGGCTGTGAGAGCTAGCCAAACTGTCGTAGGGTAGGGTCAAGCTCAATAGCTCAAAATTCGGTAAAGCTCTTTCAGAGGGTTCCACGACACGTCCTGCCTGGCATAGGCATCATAGTTCAGTGAGGTTTGGTTCATGTTCATGTTGTTTATGTGAAATCATGCCAAGACTTATGCCACTTGCCGCATCGGGTTAGTGTAGTCGTGGCACGGTACCACCACAGGTTGCAGTTCAGAGAACACCTCGCACCTCACCTCCACCACAAGAGACATCGTTTCATGGCATCTGCCCATCGCCGAGTCCATGATCACTCTCTTGGTTACATCTTGTTGTTACTCCAGTCAATCTTGATGGCACTGCAGCTCCCTTATTAGCCGATTGGCAACAGCAGAAGAGAGAATCCAATCGCGATGATCTTTCTCAGACGCTCTATTGGCAGCTTCGTACTGCTCTTTCTTCTTATTCTGATACCTATCTATTTTCTGTTCGGTCTGCAGACCACCCCAGGCTCTGTGACTTGGTTGGCCGAGAAAGCTGCGTTGTCGCGAAAGCCGCAGCCTATCATTCCTCCGACCGCACATATCGTGCTCTTCGAGTTCAAGAAGAACGCATCCTCATTCCAAATAAAAGATGTGAGATGATTCGTCCGCCGTATCAGTATTGTGGCTGACTCCTGCATAGGTCACTTCAAAGATGCTGGCATTGAAGAAGTCGTGTCTACATCCCAACACGAATCGGCCGTACATCAGGTCGATTACTGGCGGAAAAGACAATTCGATTGAAGATCTCCAAGTATTAAACCCCTTCGCGTTCTATTTCACATACACTAACAGACTTTAGAATGGCGTGAGTCATGCTTTCATTGTCCATTTCGAATCCAATGAGGACCGCACCTACTATGTCAGTGACGATCCGGTGCACCAAGCATTCAAGGAAGCAGCAGGACCGTATCTCGAGAAGGCGATCGTAGTCGACTTCCAGGAAGGCGTATTCACATGAGCCGACAGACTGAATGTTTACTGGTCTAGCTCCACAAGGGTGTGATGCTGCGCCCCACCTCACTTGTACATAAACCGCCACCTAGCTCTTAATCAATTCATATTTCCTCTCGGCCAGTATTCGCTGAAGCTCAAATTCAGCTATACACCTGAATGTTAACCTCATTCTATATAAGGCGACGTCCACAATAACTGCACAGCCAGCATGGAATCTCCAACATCATCAATCCCTTTTCGGTCCAGTCAAAACGACACGACTCGTTACCAGGCTCTTAACCGAACTTCTAGAGAGATCCGCTACATCTCTATCCAACCAAGTTTTAATGGCGATCACAACTCTCCATTGGTCTGTTCTTTGGGTCATCTGTCTCTCGACGACGCGAACAGAATCCAGTACGAGGCGCTCTCATACTGCTGGTGGGGGGGATGTGTTGGACACAGTCCCTATCACCCTCCAGCACCTGAATCAAAACAGCACAAGCCAAGAATACTGGGTTACAAGAAATCTCGACGCGGCATTACGGAGTTTACGGCGTATCAATCAGGAGCGTGTATTATGGGTAGACGCCATTAACATCAATCAAAATAATCCGATCGAAAGGGGGCAGCAGGTTAGCTTTATGGGGGAGATTTACTCTGAAGCAGATCAGGTACTCGTTTTGCTTGGAGAAGAGGATGCTTCTACTCCCATCGTTCGACGAGTGCTGGAGACATACGAAGTAGATTACAAATCTTTCTCTGGCGGAGCAGTCCGGATACCCTAGAATTGAAAACATGAAAGAACAACTTCCAAGGAGAGTCTTCGACAGAGTCATGCGTGCGATGGACTCGCTACTCAGAAGGCCTTGGTTCAGCCGTGTTTGGGTTATCCAGGAAGTGCTCCGCGCTCGTCAATATCCTTCAAAGGCCAGGGAGACATACTTAAAAGACTAATGGAACGCCGCGATATGCAAACTGTCTCAAAAGAATAAGATGGATACGTTACGGGCTTGCACGGCCAGTCATACATTCGCATCTATCATCATTGGTAAAACGGAAAGGTAGGGTGGTAGAACTTGGTGTATCATGTAGAGTGACTAGCTTTTTGCTCGCGGGAATAATGAATTCTAGATATCGAGAAGGGTGACATTGCTCCGGGTTAGGTAAGAGAAATGAATTGCCGCTCGCTGTCTTACAGGTATCTTTGTAAGAGCTTTGCGGAGTTTATTACAGTTTTTAGATATTTTAGAGAACGAAGATGGGGTTCTATAGGATACTGAAGGGCTTGCGATGGGATACTGATTCAGCTGTGCGAGCCCCATGGATCAGCGACAAAGGATGGAAACGGATGTTGGTATGAGGGGTGTTGTGGGCTGGTTAGGATTGGATTGGACTGCGGCGATAGATATCGCGAAGACGTTGTTTCCGTGACTTCTGTGGTTTTGCGCGAACAGGGGCCAGTGCCTCAAGAGAGACATATTAAGTCATGAATCATAGAGTATCGTTTCTTGCATATACCCACTGAAACCTTCCAAGCCATTATAAATCAATTGTTCTTGTTGCTTACCATTGCGACGGTGGTCCTGACGTGAGGTTCCTCAACGGCGCTTACCCACCAACCCACCCCTCGCTTCCGGCACCAATCGCCCCTGTCAAAAAGCCGCCAAACTCCCCACATTGCCCCACTTGTAACACAGAACGCTTCAACTGTTCAATATTACCTTCAATTCACGAAGAACATCAACTTTGTGTCTGTATATGTAAGAATTAATTTTCATGTTTCCCATCAATCAAGCATAACAGCTTCATTCATCCTCCGTGGCGCAATTGGCTAGCGCGTCTGACTGTTAAGATGGCAATCAGGAGGTTCGTGGTTCGAGCCCACGCGGGGGAGGAAGTCATTTCTTTTTGCCGTTTTTTTGTAGGTGGCGGAGAAGGCATCTCTGTGGTGCGGAAGAGGGTGGGATTGTATACTTTTTTGGTGGCTGTAGAGCTTGTGGGACGTGGATTGCGCTAAGAACTTCACTTTTTGTTTTGCAAACACTGAGAGTATGTGGCAGTGCAAGGCAGCTTCGCGGGTGTGATGTTATAATAGAGTAACAGGAAGGAAGCCCAGAACTCCCGTTACAACGCCCCAACAGTCTTTCAAAAAGAGGATTAAGTATCTATCGAATGGAGGCAGTATGATATTATGACGCCGAAAGAATAGAAGTTTGGTATTCGTGAACGCACAGTGGTTATTCTTGTGTTGCTGATTTGGGTAGATAAACTGTTTGATTATCGATTTCGTTTTCAGTATAACTAACATATTAAGTTGCCCATTATAGCAGAAGAATCGACCCGGGCTCATTCCATCGCACTTGTATTCACACCTCTTATTGTTAATATTTAGCTTATATACCCCATCTGCCCACAGCAAACGTTGGCAAATATGAAGCTTTCGTTGACCGTCAAATGATGCGGAATCAGTGAAAAGCCCATGGCACCAACGTCTGTTTCACTGGACTCGGCCTTGCCGCTATCAACGGGTATCATAACAACATAGCAAATGCTGCCCAAGAGGCTCTGCAGGTTTTGGGTCTCCGTCAAGTACTCTCCCCACTATCACGGCAGGTGGTTTTGTCGTGCATGGAGACGAGGCACCTTGGATTGTTCTTGCGGTAGACTGCAACACTCATTGGTTCGGCATCGGATTGTATGCTATCGACGAGATTGGTATTGCAGTTCTCGTCGAAGGCACTGTGAGAAGCTTAAGGGTCGGAGAGCACAACCAACCCAACGCACTGAGAGACACGATAAGACATCCTTTCGCCAACCCTCTGCTAGACATTGATCTTTCCCGCCAAATCCATCACTTAGTTGTGTATGGCGAAAACATCAAGGGCGATGTCCTTCACCTCCTGACGGAGTTTGTGGATGCACACTTGGTCGACAACGCGTACTTCTCCAGTTCGGCCTTCGATAGCGTGACCATCATACCGTCTGATGTGCGTAATGCGATGGACACTGTAGACTTCAAGATGCATACGAAATCCACCTTTGGTTGTCATTGGCGATCTAAGTTTCAACCCGAAGATCATTCGAAGCTATGATAGATGTTGGAGATCGGCTTTCGTACCAACAGCTGGATCTAAGCAGCATGGCTATGAACCAACAAATAGTTACTCGTACTGGTCTCTTTAACCCACCTAAAGTATTCCCATGGCTATTTCCGCGATCTATTGGCCTAGTTCCGTATTGTCCCGCCTCTGTAGTCCCAAATCATCGAGACAGGACATAGATTCGAGAAACTGATATTCAAGTATCAACTTTATAGAAGCGTGCTTCAGGTCGTATTCCTGCACTGCCATACTAATAGCCTGTCCCCTAATACAAAAACTGCATAGGTCATACCAGTGCCCTAAATTCTATAACCATTTATCCTACCAAACCAAACTAAACTAAACTAACCCTACTCACACATCCAGATCCCCGCTCAATTTTATACAGAACAACAAACAACCCACCAACCAAAGTAAAATAAAGTCACCCAAACACACATCACCAAGACACAAACATTATATCAGTCAGTCAGAAAGTAAAAAGAGTATATTCATCTCCACTCCCCCACAACGTCACTTTTCCCGGTGCTCGTCACTATCTCCAATCCATACATCAAGTTTAGAACAAGCTACACAAGGTATTGGAACAGAAGAAGAAGAAAAAACAAGGCAGGCAAAGCAACAACAGGAGAGATTATTCGGTCTCCTATCCCGTTAACCAGCATTCGTTGGCAACAATATCCACCACCACTTTATTTGTTCGCCTTGGAATCACTGCCCATAACAGGGTTCTTGCCCTGGAGATACTGCGCATCCGACCTGAGCGTCTCATCAGGTTTATCTAGCACAACGGTTAGCAAAGTCCTCAAAAGCAAGGGGGTGAAAGGGGAAAGAACTCACCATGCCGAGCATAAAGCCCATCCTGCTCATCACTAAAAATACCAACCCCACCACTCTCCACCTGTTTCCTCGTCAACCCCAATTTACTCCCCTGCAGGCCCATACTGCCCAAAAACTGCACCGAGTCCCTCCACTCGCGTTCCTTCCGCTCCTTGCTCCAGCCCAACTCCTCGCTCATAAGATCGATGACAACGGGCAGCGCCTCGAGCGCCGCGTGCGCGTTCAAGAATGCGAGACGCATGCGCCTGGCGATGATATCCGTCGCCGTCTGCGCATACTCGTGACGCACGCAGTACCGCACCTCGCCGTCGATGAACGGGTACAGTGAGGAAATACGCTTTCCGCGGACAGGGAAGCGTTGCTCGGTGGGCGCGGAGAGAGAGGCCACGGTCCAGGCTCGGTCGCCGTAGGCCGTGCAGAGGTATGTCGCGACTTCGGTTTCGATGCCGAAGTGCTGGATCAAGTTGATGAAAAGGGTCTTCGAGTAGCCGTGTGCACCGATGAGGCGGACGCGATGGGTTTGGCAGGTTCCGTCGAGCGGAGCTTCGTCTTCGACCCATGTGCCACTGACACGCGGAGGGTCGGCGAGGGCAGAGGTCTGGAGACCGAACTCCTTGATCGCTTCGTCCACGGTTTCTTCCGCCATCTCGCGGTACGTGGTCCATTTGCCGCCGGCGCAGGTCAAGAGACCAGATGCACTTGACGTGACGAGGTGGTTTCGTACGAGACCTTCTGTTTTGCCGGCTTTGGGGTCGCGGACTAAGGGGCGGATACCGGACCAGGCGGCTAGAACGTCGCCGCGGCGTACATTGATTTCGGGCTGCAGATAGCGTCGGATCTCTTTGAGAATCCATTCGATTTCTTCCTCGGTGGCGATGGGGTTCTTGACGACGGCCGTGGCTGTGTCGGTAGTACCGGCAATCGTGTTGCCTTGCCACGGGAGGAAGAAGACGACTCTGCCGTCTGATGTGCTTGGGTCGATCAGGCCCATGTTCGAGGGGCTGTAGTAACCGGGGAGAATGACGTGGACGCCGGAACTGGGTGCTACAATTTCTTCAGTGGTTGGGTCGTCTAGCTTGCGTATCGAGTCTGTGAATGGACCGGTAGCGTTGATTATGCCTTTGGCTTTGATGGAGAATTCCTCGGGCTTCTTGCCGTTGAGCTCAGGGATGCAGTCTTTGACGCGGGCGCCGTTCAGACGACCTGAGGCGTCTTTCTCGAGGGCAGTGACTTCCATGTGCGGAACTACTGTCGCACCGTAGAGCGCAGCGGTCATGGCGAGTGAAACATTCATGCGGGCATCGTTATGTGCACCGTCTATCAGAGTCAGCTTGAATCTCCAGACAGTCCATTCAACTTACCATAGTACACCAGCGCGCCAAAAAGACCATCCTTCTTCAACATGGGGAACGCATCCAGCGCCTTACTCTTGGTAAGGAAGTACGAACTCTCGATATTCTCCGCGCCAGCCAAGAAGTCATAGAACTTTGTTCCAGCCCAGAAGTACGGCGCCTTCCACCACGTATCGATGGGGATCATAATAGGAAGCCACGACGAGAGATGCGGCGCTGTGTCCAAAAAGTATCGGCGTTCGCGGAGCGCTTCGACGACGAGCTTGTACCTAGAAATGTTGTCAGCGTCATCCACCTCGACCGTAGTACGGGGATAGAATGATAGGGGTGTATCTTACTGGTTGTAATCCAAATTCCAAACCGCCTTCTCAAGATAGCGCACACCACCATGCACCAACTTGGTACTCTTACTACTCGTCCCACTGCTAAAATCATCCCTCTCGACAAGCGCGACCTTCAAGCCCCTCGTAACAGCATCCAGCGCAATACCAGTGCCCGTGGCACCCCCGCCAATGATCAATAAATCATACGGATCATCATCGCTCGCCTTCCCTGCGACATTGTCCTTGGCAGTCTTGACGGCCTTGTCGCCCTCATTCCCGCCAAGCCAGCCCCCAAGCTTCCTCGCCCTGCTAAGATATGTCCCCGCACTCCTCTTCAATGTCTCGATCTGCTCCTCTCTCGTCTTCACATTCGGGAACTTGGGCGGTCTGAAGACGCCACCTTCGCCATAGGTCGGGGGTGGCACAGCAGCAGCCTCGGTACCGGGAATCTCGCGCGGGCGGTAGACGGTATAGAGTGCCGCGCCACCGAGTGCTACCGCACCAGTGGTGTAGAGCAAAGGGCGGACAATGCGACTTGCCCGTGACCGTGTCGCCATTGTGATGATGGGTAAGAAAAAGTGCTCGGGACCTTGGGATTATTATGTCGAATGGATTGTCGAATCGTCCGAGGTTCAATGAAATATTCCTGTTACGATGTGTACCGGCTCACGCCTTCACATAAAGCACATCAGCATCCATCATCCCATCGTCTCATCGTCTCCTCATCTCCCCATCTCCACAATCCATCCCCACCCTCTCCGGAACATCTCCACAACCCACCACACTCACCTCAAAAACCCGCTAAGCCAACATCTCCCTCTGAGCAAAATCGAAGCACAAATTTTCCGGAAGAGCGTTGTTGGAGAGAGGGAGAAAGAAGGGGCGAGGAAAGTAGGCACGAAAGGTGGATCAATTAGTGTTGATCTTTCAGAGTGGCAGATGACGTTGCGGCCGTCTCACACGATTCGCGCTGGTTGCTTGGGCGTGTTCCGTTCCTAGTCCGGCTTTTTCGGCAGAATAGAACACCGAAGAGACTGAGCCCACGTGCTACTTGTCCCCTTTTCCACACAATCCAACCTTCTTTTTTTTCTTTTTTTGCATCCCCTTCACAAAGGAACAGACGATATTGGGCGATGCCAGCTATGTAATTATGACAATGAGGCTCTTCCAAAGCTATCCAGGAACAGCAACCCGAACCCACAAAAGATCGTCGACCCCCACGCGCCAACACCCCCAGCCAAGCCAGGTTTGCCAGACTCTCCAACATCGGGATTCCCA